ATGATTGGAGGACGAGTAATCCTCGGACAGACGTTCATCCCTTAGTTGGCCTCTGATGTCAGGGGAGGATTATCTGCAGCTCTCGGTAATCGGTGGATCTCACGGACAGATCTTCCTCTAATCTGAGCCACTTACCGACATCTTCCAGAAGACTTCACTAGGTCAGAGGTCACCAGGAGGAGTCATCACCATCCCTGCGATACTCACCTTTCCTCCCAGAGCCGCCCCCGCAATACTTCTCTTCTGCCACTAGATGTCCTCAGTCTGATGGCCGGCATCGTCCAATCCCCTTCCTCCAGGTCATCCCGGACCTGTGATTGGACAGTGAAAGGAGAAGCGGCGCAGGGATGAGCTCATCAATCTCTCGGTCACTCTGCTGCTCTCCTCCTATCAGCACGTGAACTGATTGGCTCCTTTTGTGCTGCTGGAATCTCTGCTTCCCATACAAACACAGGCACACAATGTTCTCGTTATTATAGCTAAAGGAGATTGTACAATCAGATTGTGAGGTGTGTGGCCGGCTTTGTACAATCAGATTGTGAGGTGTGTGGCCGGCTTTGTACAATCAGATTGTGAGGTGTGTGGCCGGCTTTGTACAATCAGATTGTGAGGTGTGTGGCCGGCTTTGTACAATCAGATTGTGAGGTGTGTGGCCGGCTTTAGGCAGATTGTACAATCAGATTGTGAGGTGTGTGGCCGGCTTTGTACAATCAGATTGTGAGGTGTGTGGCCGGCTTTGTACAATCAGATTGTGAGGTGTGTGGCTCTGTGAGATATAGGTTGGGTATCTGGTGGAGTAGTCGGGTATTTCGGCACACACACACACGGTGAGAAGAGTCTGTCATCACGTTGTCCCGAGAAGACGATGGATTTCGGTGAAGTGGAGAGTCAATATGTACCCGGAGGTGACAACCCGCCTGACCTGCCGACATTTCAGCCCATCCAGGGACAACGCCAACGTTTCAGTTGTGACACCAATCCCGGGATTGGGGACGGGAGCGGAGGGGGAGGCAGCAGAGGCAGACGCCTTGGGCCCTTCACCAGGAGGGGGCACAGAAAGGGCCGGACCTGCAACCTATCCCGCTCTGGAGGGGGGGGAGGGGGAGGTCTATCCAGGTAACGGGCTCCGGAGCGTCTGATTGGTATAACGGATCACCTGATCACTGCCAACAGACAACAACGGGGAAACTGGACAAACGTTTCCAACCCGACCAAAGTTCTGAATGTTAATAGGGGGATAGAGGGGTATATTGGGGTACAATGGAGAGATGATGGGGGATAGAGGGGTATATTGGGGTACAATGGAGAGATGATGGGGATAGAGGGGTATATTGGGGTACAATGGAGAGATGATGGGGGATAGAGGGGTATATTGGGGTACAATGGAGAGATGATGGGGGAGATAGAGGGGTATATTGGGGTACAATGGAGAGATGATGGGGGATAGAGGGGTATATTGGGGTACAATGGAGAGATGATGGGGGATAGAGGGGTATATTGGGGTACAATGGAGAGATGATGGGGATAGAGGGGTATATTGGGGTACAATGGAGAGATGAGGGGGGATAGAGGGGTATATTGGGGTACAATGGAGAGATGATGGGGGATAGAGGGGTATATTGGGGTACAATGGAGAGATGATGGGGATAGAGGGGTATATCGGGGTACAATGGAGAGATGAGGGGGGATAGAGGGGTATATTGGGGTACAATGGAGAGATGATGGGGGATAGAGGGGTATATTGGGGTACAATGGAGAGATGGTGGGGGATAGAGGGGTATATTGGGGGGTACAATGGAGAGATGATGGGGGATAGAGGGGTATATCGGGGGGTACAATGGAGAGATAAGGGGGGATAGAGGGGTATATATCGGGGTACAATGGAGAGATGATGGGGGATAGAGGGGTATATCGGGGTACAATGGAGAGATGATGGGGGATAGAGGGGTATATCGGGGTACAATGGAGAGATGATGGGGGATAGAGGGGTATATTGGGGTACAATGGAGAGATGATGGGGATAGAGGGGGGGTACATATCGGGGTACAATGGAGAGATGATGGGGGATAGAGGGGTATATTGGGGTACAATGGAGAGATGATGGGGGATAGAGGGGTATATTGGGGTACAATGGAGAGATGATGGGGGTTGGGGTATAATATGGAGCGAGGGATTCAGGTAGTATGGTGGGATGCTGGGGTTCTGTAGGGGGAAATGGGGGGGGGGGTTGTGGTACAATGGGGGGGTTGGGCTATAACATGGAAGTAGCAGTTAAGGCGGTGTATGGTTGGGGTAGACTGGGGTATAATAGAGGTGTTGGGGCACAAGGGTTGGGGTAGGTTGGGGTGCAGTAGAGATGTTGGGGTATAATAGAGGTGTTGGGGTACAAGGGTTGGGGTAGGTTGGGGTGCAGTAGAGAGTTGGGGTATAATAGAGGTGTTGGGGTACAAGGGTTGGGGTAGGTTGGGGTGCAGTAGAGATGTTGGGGTATAATAGAGGTGTTGGGGGGTACAAGGGTTGGGGTAGGTTGGGGTGCAGTAGAGGTGTTGGGGTACAAGGGTTGGGGTGCAGTAGGTTTGGGGTGCAGTAGAGGTGTTGGGGTACAAGGGTTGGGGTAGGTTGGGTGCAGTAGAGGTGTTGGGGTACAAGGGTCGGGTAGATTTGGGGCTCCTGGTGGTGCTCAGTGAAGGTCTGGTCCAATGGGAAGGAGGTTCTGGTCTCAGGAGCTGACAATCTAGTCCTCCAATGGGGCGGGACGTTCCGGCTGAACACCTTTTGTCTGTTTTGCTCTCGGCTCTCAGCGGGATTATCAGACAATAAAACATCTCAGAGATTCTCAGGCTGATAGGGGCCCCGCCTTACAACACACACACCGCGCGCGGCACGGAGCCTCCAGATTGGGCGCTGTAGGCCGACGTCCGGGGCCAGGAATGTGGAGGGGCCCCGGCTTACAACGCACACACCGCGCGGCACGGAGCCTCCAGATTGGGCGCTGTAGGCCGACGTCCGGGGCCAGGAATGTGGAGGGGCCCCGGCTTACAATGGGAACGACCGGATCTTTGGGCTCCTTTGTGAAGTCAGCCGTTCGTTCTGCTAATCCTCTACAATTCTCGGCATGTGAATGGCGGGCGCTCGGCGTGTCGGCGGGCGCTCGGCGTTTCATTGGGGGGCGCTCGGCGTGTCAATGGCGGGCGCTCGGCGTTTCAATGGCGGGAGCTCGGCGGGAGCTCGGCGTGTCAATGAATGGAGCTCGGCGGGCGGGCGCTCGGCGTGTCAATGGCGGGAGCTCAACGTGTCATTGGGGGGCGCTCGGCGTGTCAATGGCGGGCGCTCGGCGTGTCAATGGCGGGAGCTCGGCGTGTGAATGGCGGGGCGCGCTTGGCGTGTCAATGGCGGGCGCTCGGCGTGTGAATGGCGGGCGCTCGGCGTGTCAATGGCGGGCGTCGGCGTGTCAATGGCGGGCGCTCGGCGTGTCAATGGCGGGCGCTCGGCGTGTCAATGGCGGGCGCTCGGCGTGTCAATGGCGGGCGCTCGGCGTGACACGGAGGGAATTGAGGGCCCACGTAGCTTTCATCATCTTCCCAGCCTCCTGCCCTATCAGATATCGCCGCCTCTGACTTCTCTGTTCCGGAGGTCAGAGTTCAGGTTCCTGCGCGGGGCCCCGTGTGATCCCACAAATGAGCCACCAGAGTTCCCTCCAATCTGTAGAAGGTTCGGGACGAATAAAAGACAATAAAGAACAATTCAGGAAAAAAAAGAATGTCGATGTTTTCTCGATCTGCCTGAGGCTTCCGGTTTCCTCCACCAACAATGGCGGACGGCGCCCAGGGCAGGCGGTGAAAATATTCGGTAACAATTTTGGTGAAATACATTCATAACATCTGAAGAAATCTCAGAAATTCTGGAAATGAGACGACACTTCCCAGAGGAGTCACCCCACCTAGACACCAGGCACTGCAGCCACGCTCCTCCCGCTCTCCGCCATCTTCCTCCTGTCATCTCCCTCTCATCTACAGAAAGTCGTTCACAGACATCACACAACCAGGGAAGGATTGAGGAAGCCAACTCCTCCATCCCTCCATCCTCCATCCATCCTCCATCCATCCATCCATCCATCCTTCATCCATCCATCCTCCATCCATACTCCATCCATCCATCCTCCATCCATCCATCCTCCATCCATCCATCCATCCATCCATCAATCCTCCACCATCAATCCATCCTTCCACCAAATCAATCCATCCATCCTCCATCAATCCATCCATCCATCCATCCATCCATCCTCCATCCATCCTCCATCAATCCATCCTCCATCCATCCATCCATCCTCCATCAATCCTTCCACCATCAATCCATCGCTCAGCCAGTGTTCTGTGCAACTCCATGGTTCCTCCAGAGGTTTCCAGGGTTCACTGAGCAATGAGCAGAGATGGATCGATCTTCTGCCTCCTGGTGGCCTTCGTTCTGGCATCAACATCACTCAGCAGGACCACCAGAATGGGACCACTGGATCTTCTCCTCTTGTTTCTCTGGTACGTCATCATAGACACCAACAATCAAGTTCACTGTCTATAGGGGAAGATTCTTCCCACTGACCCCCAATGTAAGGGACATTCTTTCCTCTGACCCCCAATGTAAGGGACATTCTTCCCACTGACCCCCAATGTAAGGGACATTCTTCCCACTGACCCCCAATGTAAGGGACATTCTTCCCACTGACCCCCAATGTTAGGGACATTCTTCCCACTGACCCCCAATGTAAGGGACATTCTTCCCACTGACCCCCCAATGTAAGGGACATTCTTCCCACTGACCCCCAATGTAAGGGACGTTCTTCCCACTGACCCCCCAATGTAAGGGACATTCTTCCCCACTGACCACCAATGTAAGGGACGTTCTTCCCACTGACCCCCCAATGTAAGGGACATTCTTCCCACTGACCCCCAATGTAAGGGACATTCTTCCCACTGACCCCCAATGTCATTCTTCCCACTGACCCCCCAATGTAAGGGACATTCTTCCCACTGACCCCCAATGTAAGGGACATTCTTCCCACTGACCCCCCAATGTAAGGGACATTCTTCCCACTGACCCCCAATGTAAGGGACATTCTTCCCACTGACCCCCCAATGTAAGGGACGTTCTTCCCACTGACCCCCAATGTAAGGGACATTCTTCCCACTGACCTTGTAAGGGACGTTCCCCACTGACCCCCAATGTAAGGGACATTCTTCCCACTGACCTCCAATGTAAGGGACATTCTTCCCACTGACCACCAATGTAAGGGACGTTCTTCCCACTGACCCCCAATGTAAGGGACATTCTTCCCACTGACCCCCAATGTAAGGGACGTTCTTCCCACTGATCACCAATGTAAGGGACATTCTTCCCACTGACCCCCAATGTAAGGGACATTCTTCCCACCGACCCCCAATGTAAGGGACATTCTTCCCACCGACCCCCAATGTAAGGGACATTCTTCCACCGACCCCAATGTAAGGGACATTCTTCCCACTGACCCCCAATGTAAGGGACATTCTTCCCCCCGACCCCCAATGTAAGGGACATTCTTCCCACTGACCACCAATGTAAGGGACATTCTTCCCACTGACCCCCAATGTAAGGGACATTCTTCCCACTGACCCCCAATGTAAGGGACATTCTTCCCACTGACCCCCAATACATGGGCACCCTACATTGACCACCATTGAATTGGGTGTTTTTCTCATGCACCATCAATGACCACCACTGTGGTGTAGATCTAATCATCTCAGGGGGTTCCTCCTGGTAAAAAAGGTTGAGGAAGTCTGCTCCGTCCAAACCAGCACTGGAGTCTTGATGAATGGAGAACCTGACAACCCCTGAAGCACGTTGCTTTGTTACCTTTGAACTTGAAGGATGAAATAAATTCTCCTGGACCTCTCAGGCTTTGTTGTGGTGCTCTTGATTCCCCCTATATGTTCCTCAACTCCCTGAAATCAGACCAAGACTTGTGGAAGATCTTTCCATGGATGGTGACCTTCATTTCCCAGAAGATCGTCCGTTCACAACATCTAATATCTAGAAGTGTTAATGTTGAACGAAGTGTCACCAGCAAACCAAACTGCTCATAAGGAGCTTCTATGTGTCACAGAAAGTCACAAGACCTATTGGAGTGATCAATGGACCCTTCACCCATGAAGAGTGACCTATTGCTGGAGGACGAGTTCCATCCATGGATCTTTCTGAGCAGTTTGGGGTCGTGGTGGCATTTGTTCATTTTCAGATCTTTCCCCTATATGTTCCTCAACTCCCTGAAATCAGGTCAAACTCCCAAAACTTGTGGAAGATCTTTCCATGGATGGTGACCTTCATTTCCCAGAAGATCTTCCGTTCACAACATCTAATATCTAGAAGTGTTAAGTTGAACGAAGTGTCACCAGCAAACCAAACTGCTCATAAGGTCACAGAAAGACACGAGACCTATTGAATGATCAATGGACCCTTCACCCATGAAGAGTGACCTATTGCTGGAGGACGAGCTCCATCCATGGATCTTTCTGAGCAGTTTGGGGTCGTGGTGGCATTTGTTCATTTTCAGATCTTTCCCCTATATGTTCCTCAACTCCCTGAAATCAGACCAAACTCCCAAGACTTGTGGAAGATCTTTCCATGGATGGTGACCTTCATTTCCCAGAAGATCTTCCGTTCACAACATCTAATATCTAGAAGTGTTAATGTTGAACGAAGTGTCACCAGCAAACCAAACTGGTCATAAGGTCACAGAAAGACACGAGACCTATTGGAATGATCAATGGACCCTTCACCCATGAAGAGTGACCTATTGCTGGAGGACGAGTTCCATCCATGGATCTTTCTGAGCAGTTTGGGGTCGTGGTGGCATTTGTTCATTTTCAGATCTTTCCCCTATATGTTCCTCAACTCCCTGAAATCAGGCCAAACTCCCAAGACTTGCGGAAGATCTTTCCATGGATGGTGACCTTCATTTCCCAGAAGATCTTCCGTTCACAACATCTAATATCTAGAAGTGTTAATGTTGAACGAAGTGTCACCAGCAAACCAAACTGCTCATAAGGTCACAGAAAGACACGAGACCTATTGGAATGATCAATGGACCCTTCACCGGGGAAGAGCGACCTATTGCTGGAGGAAGAGGTCCATCCATGGATTCTGACCAGTTTGGGGTCGTGTTGGCATTTGTTCATTTTCAAATCTTTTGACACTGATGTCATCTGATTGGTGGTCACTACGACACCCACTTTTGGGATGCCCCAGGCGCCTTCCATCCCGAGACCGAGCTGACGTCTCCAGATGCAGGAAACACGTACAGAGCACAATCGTTCGGGTAACAGACATGCCCAAAGATCGCACGATGGTAAATGGCTACAGAATTCCAACCCTATGAGAGTTCTTTCCCAAGAATGATCCTACATGGACAACGGGAGGAGATTGAGATTCCATCAGACCTTAGTTCACATTTTGGAGTACAATTCCCACCCTTCTGACCTCTCCATTATTCTGGGGTTCCGGAAGGTTCAGGGGAGTCTGATGTTCTCCTGCCCATGTTGGGGTCCCTCAGGTCCTCATTTTGGACAAACAACATTCAGGCAGAACAGGTCCTCTTTATCACTTTGAGGTTTGCTCAGCTGATTGTGTTTGTTCTCCTGTTGTCTTCCGCTCATAAAGGGAGATGATTAACCGCTGATCAATTCCGCCAATAAATTCCTGGTGGAGGTGAACAATGTGGGTGACAACGACAAGGTGAGGAGATTTCCTCATGAATGGAGATAAGCCCATGTATGACGTACACACAGACCCATCCCCCAATCTGGAGGGTTTCTGTGTTGGGCAATATCCCGTTCACGGGCCGATTATCTGCCAGAAGAAACAAAAAAGTCAACGTAAAACGAAACTCAAATCCCAATCAGTCTTCAGACTCTTATCCATCGACCATCAGTAGCACAAGGATAAGGTGACACCATACTGGGTGGTGTCAAGGAAATGGGTGGCAAGGCAAGTAACCACTACAAGGCCCAGGGGTCTCTGATTCAGGGGATTCTGACCCTTACCCCTATCAGGTGGTACTACAGAACACCTCCTCCGTTATGGAGATGAGGAGAGTGTGTTGTCCTTGGGTAACATCTTCGTTCCCTCCATAGATGCAGTACAGTGAGCGTTGTCACCCTCAGACAGGAAGTGTGTTCCTGGCGGGATCAATGAAAAGGAATGCAGTCCCCACATCCAGGGACTGGTAGGTCACATTTTTGGGGGGTTATTGGTTGGAGCTGAGCCATGGACCTCTTCCTTCAGGTAGACCACGTATACAGGGGCGGACTGACCATTTGGAAGCTCGGGCACTGCCCGAGGGCCCGGGGTCAGTAGGGGGCCCCATGAGATGCCCCTGGTACCTTTTTCATAGGCTTTTTTGAGTTTGGGCAAGGACACAGGGGCCCCATGATCCATTATTGCCCAGGGGCTCCAGGATCCCCCCCATGATCCCCTATTGCCCGGGGGCCCCATGAGTTGTCAGTCCGCTCCTGCTCGTATACGTACTGTCCTTCCCATCGATTTCCGGATTTATACGGATTTGTCTTCATAGAGGTGAATGGATCCGTTCCAGGAATCTGGAGAACACGCAGAAACACGTTGGGTGACCTCTATGGTGGGGGGAACATTGTGTGCTGGGAGCTCTGGTCACCCCTCACCCACCTGATGACCAACCCTGATGGATTCTCCATATCCTGAGCTCTGCTGCCCCCTTCTGCATGAGATGGGAAAATGTTCCAACCGATTCCCAACCGCCCTACAGGTGGAGATCCTTCCAGAGCCGATGCAGGCGACACACGACCGATACAGGGCAGGGAACCCTGCAAGCGTGCTAAAGTCAGGAGGTCCACGCTGTCCACCATTAGATGAATCCAGGCTGGGTGGGCGTATCGCAGAGATTGGGTGCCGGGCTTTACCTTCCATGGTTCCTGGTTGTGCAACCTCCCTCTCATGCTCTAGTGTGTGGGGGGGGGGGGGATTGCAGTAAACTCAGAGAAGGGGTGCATTTTCCCAGGCGGCTCAGACTTTGGGTCCTTTCTCCAGAACGTGCGTTTTTCCGAGTTTTTGCGTGCCTTTTCGCACTACACATAGAGGGCAGCCAATGAATTTCAATGGGCAGCCCTCCATGCCACAAACGCACCTTTCTCGGCGTCGAGCGCGGCGTGTTTTTGTCGACTTTGCATTTTGCCGCATTTGTTTCACGTCTGGGGCGCCATTAACGATGAAAGACACCGCGAGCGCGACCAGAATGCTCAGATGATGCCGACGCCGCATGGAAACGCGGGCAGAGAGTCTTCAGAGAAATCACAATCATTAAGTCCCGCCCACACTGGGTGGGACTTGGCGTGCGATTTGTCTATTGTCTGCATTAGCGCGGTCCTATCAGTGCGGTTCTGACCCGGTCCGAGCCGCACCAATTACTAGTCCATGCGCTACGTCCGGCAAATCCACCTGAAAGCGGCATCTCGCCCCACTTCCAAATCCTGCGACTTCACTGTAAGTCGGGATTGGGGTGATCTGGGCGAGCGGTGAGAGGAGTGATTGGGGCGAGCAGGGTGAGCGGGGTGATTGGGGTGAGCGGAGTGATCGGTGTGAGCGGGGTGAGTGGAGTGATTGGGGTGAGCGGGGTGATTGGGGTGAGCGGGGGTGATCTGGGTGAGTGGAGTGAGTGGGGTGATCAGGGTGATCTGGGCAACCGGGTGATCGGGTGAGGGGTGTGAGCGGGGTGAGCAGGGTGAGTGAGGTGATCGGGTGTGAGGGTGAGGGGTGTGATCGGGGTGAGCGAAGTGATCGGGGTGAGGGGTGTGATCGGGGTGAGCGGGGTGAGGGTGAAGTGTGATCGGGTGAGGGGTGTGATCGGGGTGAGGGGTGTGATTGGGGATCGGGTGAGGGGGTGTGATCGGGTGGTGATCGAGAAGTGAGCGGGGGGGTGAGGGGTGTGATTGGGTGAGGGTGTGATGGGGATCGGAGCGGGGTGAGGGGTGTGGTTGGGGGGTGTGAGGCACCAACAGAAGATTTCCGTCATCTACAGAGCCATCCGCCATGACACCTTATAGAGGGGGGGGGGGGGTGGGGTGAGGGTTCCACCACCAAGACAATGAGCAGGGGTGTGAAGTCTGGCGGGGGGGGGGGGGGGGTGAGAGGGGCTCTTCCAGGAACAATCCCGTCACCTTGTCTCCGCTTCTATCTAAATAAAACTTTGTTTTGTACAAACACTGAACGTGACTCAACCAATCACACAATTATCATCCCAACTGCCAACCCTCAACTGCCTTCCCTGAATCCCAACATCCGGACAAAGCGGTTCCCATGGCAGCTCCTCACCTCGGCCCGGAATCCAACGCACTGAAATCCTCCTGACAACGGCCGTTCACCGACAACCCGGAACTCCCAACCCGACAACCCGACCGGACCACAAAGTCCGAATTCCAGATATTTCTGTCTGCCCCTCCCACAATGGGGGGTGATATTGTGATCCGGTTTCGGAGCTCAGGATGGGGGGATCGGTTTGCGGTGCTCAGGATCGGGGGGGATCGGTCGCGGTGCTCTGGATAGGGGGATCGGTCGCGGTGCTCTGGATAGGGGGATCGGTCGCGGTGCTCGGGATCGGGGGGATCGTCGCGGTGCTCGGGATCGGGGGAATCGGTCGGTCGCGGGGCTCAGGATCGGGGGGATCGTCGCGGTGCTCGGGATC